ATTTTCAAGGATAAAAAATTCTTCAAAGCTTCTATGATATGCAGATCATATCTATTGAGATATGTCTGCAAGGAAAAGTTTTGCTTTGAATTATGTGTCGGTGGATGCCACTGTGAAATGAATTTGAGATGTTTATCGTCTCCTGTTGTGTCAAGGCAAGAACCGAGAAGATTGTATCTTCGAATCTACATCCTCTTACGGGGAAACTGCTCGCTCGAGGCGAAATATTGTCACAACTACAGAGATGGTCTGTAAGAAAACGTCACCCTGAATGCAACTAGTGTCGATCATCGACACTAGTTGATAAAACTCAAAAGAAGATGAAAAAGATGGCAGTGCAAGCGCCACTGGTACTGCTAGGGAAGTTGTTAACTTTCCCTCCAGCGGATGCGGCCCTTTAGCGCTAGTGAGAATGCAAAAATTCATCTGGATTGGCTTACTTTTATTTGTAGTTAATTATATTTAACAGAAATATAGAATTGAAAGCGATGTATTGCATGTTGCTTGGTTTAGAAATATGTTTCATAGTTTTATGCAACTCTCATGGGTACGAATTTATCTGAAGCTCGAATCTGATCAGTTCGCGACTTTTGTTTTCTTAGAGACCACTACACGCTCCATTTGGGCTTCCTTGCTTCGTTGACCTACAAAAAAATATAGTCGTGGACAGACTAAGGAATGACACAATCAAAATCTATTTGAAAGAAACGTCCCTATTGTCGCCTCTCATATTATGATGTGGAGCAAAGTTTCGAGAAACAACTGAAGTCTCTAAACATACTTTACGTCATCTTTTACGTAGGGAGCCCTCTGTTAACTTTCTCTCTCACTTGTTACATCCCAGTTTTCGCCTCCGAATGGTTGTCAGATTGCTTTTAAAGCCTCAAACTTCGCTGAACTGTGAGGGCAAAGTTAAGAGATGAAAGTGATATCTTCATATATGAGAGTTTGATTGAAAGTGTCTACTAATACGAGAGGATGGTATGTATAACGTGCAACTTTTCAATTGTTGGCAAGATGTCTTACACTTTCCACAATAAAACTGCGTCGGTAGAAAATTTGAATCAAATCATTTTCTTACATTTCAAGAACAAACAAAGCTACAACTTTTGCTTACACATTTTACAGGCGTTTAGTATTTAGAATTCAGTATTGAAGCAAGATATGCCACCTATTAACAATTTTTACGTTACCTGGAAAGATGCTGTTGGCGAAAACTTTACGAGATTGGCAGTACTCTTTATCGTCTTCTTTGCGTTTAAAAGCTAGGGTTCGAAATTTCATGTACACTGCTGAAGTTTCGTTTTGAAAAGTCTAAAGTACACTTGACGTTAAAGCTGCTTCCCGCATGAATGGTTGACTTTTCCTGCAGATTATTAATGGTGTAAAGTAATCCTGATAGCGGACATACAGTTAGCTCATGGGTTCTAGAGTTGACAGAAGAGTTTGAATCATTCACTTTTCGACATCTCCAATCTATTGATAGACATCTGCTAATTGGAATTAAGTTAACAAGAATAAAGAGTAAAGAAAAGTACAGGAACATATATTCAAAGGCACCTGTCAGCTAAAAA